TCTAAATTCATATAGAATACCCAAATAATAGACCATTGGGTGTAATTTGAGAAGGGTGGCAATTCCACTAGAAACCAAAAATTCTTTTCCATAAAATTGAATCCAAGACTGGGTAATCAATCAAAAGATACGACTCGTTTCGTGGAATGTGACCGACTTCTTCAGGGAAAGTGGAAAAACTGAGCAACAATGCCTACAGTGGATTCAAAAATATACACCCAATTAACAATGAAAATACAGATAAAGCATAACAGTGTACACAAAATTATATAAAGCAATAAATGAAAAAAAAGAGGAAGCAAATTACCAGTCGATGATAGCACTCTGTTCAATAGCAGCACCTGATGTACATGAAGATCAGTAGTACTTGGATACACTAAAGGAGATTTTCTGCGTACTAAGGAGGAAGCCACCAGTCCGAGAATACCTCAGATCAAATTGAGTAGCAAACGCCAAGCGATTGTTCTCAGGGTCCATAAAATAATCAGTGATTAGAGATTGAAAAATTCTCTTTTTATAAATAATCTAAGCCTCTCCCAATCTCTGCAAAAAACCAACTACACCCCTACTCCCCACGAGCCTGTGAAGCATTGCACCCATGATCAGCAGATTGCTGGTGCTGAGCAGGGCTTTTGCAGACAGACTGTGTAAGCTGTCTCCTCGTACAGACAGGTAGTTTGACACTGACAGGAAGACTCAATGAACTACCTAGAGCGCTCAACAGCACCCTGGTACTACATTACATTGAGAACTACAAGCCGACAGCCACTAAGGATGTCGGTGGTTCTCCTACTCACAGAACTCTGTGAAAGAATTACGCAGCCAGGCAGCTGTAGCCCATCATGGGGACATTTTTTAAAGATTTGTGAGGGGAGAAGATCCCCTGCTCACTGTCAAAATGGGCGATCGAGGGGGGGGGGGGGGGGGGGGGATTTGAGGGCTTCTGAATCTGTAACATGTTGCATGACACAACCTGAATATGGGTAGGACATGCTACGAGAGGTGAACTTATCCTTTAGCCCCGGATAAAACACTGTCATATCTCATGTGAATAGCACTGCATTCCTGTGAAAATCACATGCGATTCTGTGCAGTGCGATTTGAGCCAATCATTTTGTATGGCTCAGATCGCATAGCATCCGCTTTATAGATGCAGGCATGTTTTTTTTTTCCACACTGGAAATGGATCAAATGAGTGTTCATACCCATGCGATCCGAATCAGGCCAACACACTGCGTTCTGTGACCTGTTTTTGGGGTGTCCTTAGCTTTTGACACCCCCAGCAGATTGCATGAACACAGTGCGATTGCTATGCGGTGTGATGTGGGAATTGCAGCACTTCTTGTGCATTTCCAGCATCACATCAGTGTGAACTGAGCCTTAAATATACAGAATTGTGAATTAGCTGTTGGAGGAAAGTCTCATAGATTCAATGCTGCTATTCACTTGCTATCTGGTTCTGAGATAAGATATTGGTGACATAGAGGATAAGCAAAATAGAGAGCACTGGATAGTGAAGATAACATTTCTTTACATTATAAAAGTTGTGCTTAAAAACATACATTGATTCATGGTAAAACACCAGGAGAAGCCATGTAGAGTACCAGCTCCCAGCAACTGTTATGCCTTGTCTTGCTGGGTAGCTGGCATGAGAAGAGGGTAGGAGCACAAATGAAGTTTGTGGAGACAACACTGGATATACCTTGGGGGAGGAACTACAAATCATCCCTTATAATTAAATGGAAAAGGGACCAAAATTGTGTTCTACCACCTGAAGCACCTCCATTAACATGTTTTGGGACTTTGCCCCTTCATCAGAATCCTAGGGAGTGCATTGTTTCAGTAGATCAGGTGACTCATAGTTTTACACTATGAAAAGAAACAGTAAAGTACAACCATTGTCTGGCACTGCAAAACAAAAGCAAAACCTGCAGTGTGATAATTGAATATGATGGTCCCTTTATCTCTCATAATTAAAAAAGATGCTTGCTTAGAAACAAAGTTTTTTTCCTACCTAAAGTAGTATTAAACTCTTAGCTTTGATTAGGTTAACATATTAGGCACAATAAAATGAACATTCCTAAGTAGAATAGTTGTTAAGATTCTGACTTCAGCACTTGTAGATTACAACTTTTAATGCTGCTAGCGCCTGCTTTCTCATTGCTGCTTCCCTAAAACTGTTAAGAGTTAACAGCAAGCAGTTCAATCTAGAGCCAGTCTGTTAGCTTCGGGAAGAGGGACAAGCAGGAGAGTGCCTTGTCATCAAGGCTTATGGGGCTATGTAATTTTATTGATGTTCACAATATAGGGAACCAAAAATCTAGTCCATGCATGCAAGGGTGGCTCCTTAGGACAACGCAATAGAAAGGAGATAAGCTACAATAGGAAGCTTGGAGCATTGGCCATGGCACCAGCCCATACAGAAGCATAGGCAAGAATGAAAAGCTAAAGAAGATTCTTATTTAGTAAGTGATAAAACCAGCTGCTGAAAGTGAGGGTTTAATATAACTTTAGCACATACTAAGAAAATTCACATCAAGCTGATCTTGTACACATTTGTTGTGATAAAGCGTTCCTTTTGAGCCAGAAGTGCTAGTATAGGGTGATGTCCTTCCTAAATTATAGTTGCACTTTAAATGTAAAATATAGTAAGATTTATTTACAATTTGTATGTTCCTGCTTATCAAGACTTGCTGAGCCCTGGAGCAGGTGATGTTTTAATGGAGGAGTTAAGTGACATTGAGAGTTACCCAATGGACGACATTGATGAGCCTCTAACACCAGACAGTGGCAGTGGATGCCAGAGTGAGAACGGAGACATGCAGGACCCCGACCAAGATCAAGACGCATCAGACCGTATGATCAGGTGAGCAACAGCTAAGTGGTGGTGTCAATAACAAAATCTAAGACACTGAATAGTACAAATAGATCAAACCAAAACTTTGGTCAGACCTAACTATTGCTCAGTAAAGTGTAAGTCTGAATTGGTTCTGTTTTAGTATCCTCAAAGGTCATTACTTGTGGAAATTAGCTATGGAAAGATATGTTTTTCTGGTAATACTTGGCTCACCTGAACCACTGATGTTTGTTTAGAGCAGTACATATGGTGTTAGTGTTATTAAACCCACAAAAGTAAAATCAGTCTGTGCATGCAGTAAATTATGCTTGTTATACTCAATACTCACTGTGGAACCTAAAGGGTAATCCTCTGCATTGTGTAAAAAGGCTGTTTAATCTGGTCTTCTCTGATCCTCCCCTTCTACTGTCCCCAGTCTATCTGCCGATAGAACAGAGCCTTGGGGGCAAACTGCACATGATCAGTTTGGTGTATATTGCTAGAGAGTTTTTTTTTTTTTGAGAGAATGCATGCGATTAGAACAAGGCCAATCAGCACTGTCCAGACAGAGAGTCAGAGGTTATTGGGCCTCATAGGACAATCAAAGAGAGAATGAAAACTCCTACAAGCTTTAACCAGTGCTCTGCTGAACACTGATAGAAGTCGCAAGACTGCTCTAACTGCTGATGAGAAAAAGGTGTTTATCAGTTTATATTTACTAAAATAATTGCATTACCTTGTTCTGTGTACTTTGGGAGACCAGATATAGTGAATGAAGGGTCCTGGGTTTAGTAAAATTTTAAGATTAAGAGACATTTCTTACTAAAAAAGGACAGAGTGCATCTTATAAAGTCCAGACCAGACAGTGTTTAATCAGAAAGAATAGGGTGTTATATCTGGGACAGGATAAATCAGTAAGTGGTTGTAGGCTATATTGCCTCAGAGAAGGCGAATAGTATAACAAATGAATGTATACTAATGATTCTGAAATGTAATGATCATGATAATAAAATATTAGCCAAACTTGGTGTTGAACACCCATTTGGGGACATGTTTACCTGGTCAGGCCGCAAGTTTAGTTACTGTAGTGCCATACATTTGTCCCATGTGGAGAATATTGCTGCCTCCATGCAAATTTCCTGAAGCTATACAAGCTAGTGGAGCAGTCTACTGTGCAGTGGGAGAAAATGTAATTCTAACTAGTGTTCCAGCTTAACTGTGGATTAATGGGTTAAAAGACAAATATTGAAAGTGGCACCATAACCTGACCTTCTCTTCAATTCAGTGGTGTTTGTCACCATTTGCCAGCATCCAAACCTGCAGCTTGATCGTCTGTATACTGTCAAGGCAATCAGGTTCTTAGTGGTGTTCTAGAGCTACCTAGGGAGCTGAAAATGTGTAGGTTTACTGATGGCAATCAGTCTGATTTTTGATGTTATTTTCCCCATGTTGGGTTCCTAAAATAATGTTTACTGTGGTCAGCGCTTCTACTTTTTTATGTAGGAAGGTAAAGTAGACGTTTGGTCAAATACTATCTAAACTTTAACCTACTCCCACCTCCATTCAAAGTCCTATACTAACTATTCTGTAGAAAAAAAGATATCGTTACTTACCTATTCCTTGGGCGTGCTCTGGTCTGATCATGTGATTGCTCCCCAGCGGCGACTTCAGGGTACAGGAGGGACAGCCAACAACAGATGCCCTACACTAAGCATATGGGAGACGTCATGCATAGGCATTGCAGCTGTTGTTGGCAATCTGTCCTCTTTGCTGAAGCCAGCCACTGGGGGTGATCATGTGACTGAACTGGAGTGCCCAGGGAAAAGGTGCAAGTATAGACATCTTTCGTCTACAGGGTAGTTCGTATAGGGCTTAGTATGGGGGTGGGACTGGGTTTATGTTTACGTAGTATTTGACTGGCCTTCTACTTTAAAACTATGATATGTCCATAATCTTTGCTATAATGACGTGGCGAGTGAAATTAAGCCTTGCACAGCAATGAGAGTACTACTGCTGGCTGAGCTCACAAAGATAAATCATGCAATACATATTGATTTCACTATTTTCTTTTCTTTTTCTTATAGCCCTTCAGCCAGTAATAACATTCCTTTGATGAGAGTGGTTCAGTCTGTCAAACACACTAAGCGGAAAAAGCAGCAGTGTTATGAATGAAGGCTGGATGGTGCATTACACCAGTAAAGATACCTTGGTAGGAATTGATGTATTCTTTATTTTATCACTGAAAAGCTAGCTCCAGCCATTGTTTTTTTAAGTGTTGGAGTGGGGAGGGGTTAATATTTCAGTAGGTTGTTGTTTTTTTCTCTGACATTTTCCAAGTCCGAACCAGCCTGAGCTATCCTGCCAGGAAGTTGTCAAAAGTGGACAGCCTATCATAGGTGGCAGAGGCATTCCCCACCCCACAGCTGCACACATGCCCCTTGGATGCTATGATAGGCTGTCCACTTTGACAAATTCTTGGGGGGATAGCTCTGGCAGGTTCAGAGTCGTGTTTGAACATGCCAGAACTAGGTCAGCACAGTGGCTAAATGGCTTGCATGTCCGCCTGGCAGTACTAGGGTCTCTGGTTCAAATCCCAACCATGGCACCACCTGCCTGGAGTTTGCATTTTCTCCCTGTGCCTGCGTGGGTTTCCTCCCACACTCCAAAGACATGCTGGTAGGTTAATTGGCTCCTGTCTAAATTGGCCCTAGTACATGTGTATGTATGAATGCGAGTTAGGGATCTTAGATTGTATGCCCCTTGAGGGTTAGGGACTGATGTGAATGTACAATATATATATGTGTAAAGTGCTGCGTAAATTGACGGCGCTATATAAGTACCTGAAATAAACTCATCCCTGGTCAGAATTTCGGGCCTCACACTCTAATAAAATTGTTTTTGTCTGCCTCCCTGTTGGAGAGATCCCCCCACAGAACTTGTCCTGGAAGGAAATTGGAGGAAATCTCCCTAGTAGGAACACAGATGACAATGCAAACCTGAGTTTCTAACCCTTTTTTGGTCTGTCTAAAATAAATTGTTTGAACCATGTTTAGTTTTTAAATGCTCAAACTGATATAACAAATGCGTTAATTCAAAAAAGTTTTCATCTTTTCTGTCTCCCCCACTATGACAGAGAAAGAGGCATTATTGGAGACTGGACAGCAAGTGTATAACCCTATTTCAGAATGATACTGGAAGCAAATACTACAAGGTAATGGAAAAGTTTGCACCGACATACAGTGGAGTAGGGGGGAAGATTTGATTTATTGTCAAGCAATTATAAATTACTTCCTATCATACATCAGCAGTCTTTGAAAGTTAGAGAATAGTCCAACTGCCATCTGCGCTATGTTTCATATGACAGGTGCATAGATGAGCATGCAGTGCTATGCAGCCATTTATGTCTGCATGAACAGCAGGTGCACCTGAAATCACACAGGGAAATAAGAGGTTATTTAATGAAACATACAATCTGGCCTCAAGACTTTTTCCTTTAATTGCTTTTTTTCAAAGATAAGTGCAGAGGTTTGTGGCACTACATAATGTATATGCAGTGATCACCATTCAGGCCTTTTTCATTTAAAAGCATTGGACACTGGTGCTCCCTTGGTGATACAAGGATGCAGTGTGAGACTACTTGGCCAAAAGTTTTCGCACACCTGACTATCACACCTATATGAACTTGTACATAATATTTCAGAACCATGGGTAATAATGTGGAGCTGACCCTCCCATGCCCTTTCTATTTATAACAGCCTCCACTCTTCTGAGAAGGGTTTCCACAAGAAGAACTTGGAGTATATCTTTGAGACTGTGTGCCAGTTCAGTCAAAAGACCATTTGTGAGGTCAGGTGGTAATGTTGAACGAGAATACTTGGCACATCATAATGGTGCAAAAAATACACAGCACAAGTCTGAGCATTGGAGAAGATGCGGGCTCTTCTCCCAGTACATCTATAAATCTGACCATGTTGGGATGGATGTACTCTCATGTCTACCGTGGTCACTTTGACATAGAAAACCAGGGGACTGGCAGGATCAGCAGATATTTTACACAAAGGAAGCAATACAAAGAGGATGCTTTTCAATGCATGTACAAGGTACAACATACACATATTAGGAATATAAAATTTTGGGATTACATGTTCTTTAAACAATATGTAAACATTTATGATAACCATCACAAGTATTCTGCCAGATTTTACAGTTAGAAAGTCAGAACAGCATGAGAAAATGTGAAAATAAGGATTTTGAAAACAACTGGGGAGCTTTGGGATGGAGTAGAACAGCAAGTTCTTCAGTGCTTGCAGCTCAGTGGTCAGGTTTCACCTAACAGTCGAATTGAGGGTTGATCAAAGTGACCCCAAACAATTTCTCCCTAAAATATTCCTTTCACACCCATTACATAATGGCCCTGTAATGTATTTTTCATGAAATCATTTCTTGCTGTGTTCTTCTGCCTTTTTGTAATGTCCACCATGAGCTTCTGAACGTCTACTTTTCCTCTCACTTCTGTTTGTTTGGAGCAACTTTAGTTGTGGTTTTGTGCACTGCTGTATGAACACTACACAGTCCATCTTGGAAATAAGCAAGGGAGGGTGGCAATTTTTCAACATACAGTGGGACCATGGAGATAGAATATAGAGCCACCCTCTAAAGTGAAGATTGCACATAACAGAAAAAAAAAAGAATTTGGAGGAGGCTGAGAGCAATAGAAGATATGTTTTTGAGTTAAAAATACATTCATGAATGTAGTTTTATAAACTTCAGAGTGCTACTTTAAACAAAACCTGAACTTAGTTGCTGTGTGTGCTGCACGTATATGCCACAGTCCTTGTACCCACAAAATACAAATTACTGTGCTGCAAATAACAGTCTGACACATATAAACCTCAGGGCAAAGGATTTTTTTTCTTTAAATAAACAGTTTCAAACACTTTTCTGCACACGAAAAGATATCACTTTGTATGGCTGAGCCTACCTTAAAGAAGTACTTAATTAAAAACAGCAATCTGGTTGGACTTACACACTTTGGTCAGGACTCTGTAACGTATAACATAATATATACAGTGCAGGGGTCAGGAGTAAGAATTATGCAACACATAGTGTATAGAGTGCAGCAGACAAGATTAAAGGGAATGGGCACAGATAAAATGGGGTGGTGGAAGGATAGAGAGGGGGGAGAGAGTGTGGGCCACACAGGAGATGAGACAGGAGGCAGATGCCTCCAACTTTTTCATGCTGGGGCGAATGGTGCCTGGAGACACTGTGAGAGATTCACAGAAATACTGCACTGACAGCTGCAGCCACTACTGTAGTTTCACAGATTTTTCTGTATACAGTAGTTCATATCTTTTATTCATTTTGCCACTGTAAGAGAGGCACTAGTACTCCAGTGTCTCCTAATAACTCTCCAAGATGTTAATAAACATACAAGAATCTACTGCAAATTACACATCTGGCTATTTATGGTGTCCGTTACCTCAGCCTGAAACACTAACCGCTAAGCAGTAACATCAAAGGATCTTTATTAATGATCATACCTGTAACCAGATCTATATCTCAAGAGACCATCTCCTAAAAAGACGACACTTTTGGACAATGCTAAAATCATTGTGCCAGTGTAGGTCTATGTAAATTACATATAGGATATACTCCTGCATTCAAGGACATGGGTTTGTTATAAATGGGATATATGCTCTGTGTATGATGTTAAATTGACTTTCTCTCCAATTCTTTATACTAATTTTCTGAACTTTATTATATCACTCCAATAGTTTCTTAACAAAGCTTTCATGCAGAAAATCAGCACACCAGTTTTTTAAGGTTGTATTTTCCACTGAAAGTCATTCAGAGGGCAGTATATGTCAGATAGGGATTAACTACCACTTCCTATCGACGTATCCAAAAAAAGCATATCTAAAAGCATAATTCCTATCACGGTAGAAAGACCTTAAGTGACTAGATATTTGTACGTAATAGAGATAGTGTTGCCTTAGAATTTTAAATTCCATAGAAGTTCTTTCAAATGACTGCAGTGAATGAGAGTTAGGCTACTTTTACACTGATTCACGTTTACTGCGCTTTTTACAGGACATGTGATTAAAAAAACCACACCAAAGATGCAACGCGGGTGTTTTTTTGAAGCATTTGTGCTTTGTTTTCCATTGATTTCAATGGGGAAGTGCGTTTTTTTTTTTTTTTTTTTTCCCCCTGGCCAAAACACTTCCTTATCCATTGGTCAACTTGGGTACAACCAGCATGTCAGATTTTTAGCATGTGATTGTCAGCGGCTATAGCCTAGCAATGATCACTGTGTTCTCATGGCAGGGACTGCTCCCCGCTTCCCCATCCGACCCCCTCCTCCCGCAAGAGGGATTCTCCCATCAACACTAAGTAAATTGATGGGAAATCGGGCGACTTTCTTTCCTGTAACCCATGGTTGCTTGGAAAAAAAATCTCAACATCTGTGACCTGCTTTAGGATGTATAAAAGCAGAAAGATTCCAGGGAGGGGCTTGCTCCATATCCATATTAGAATACCTTGAAGACAGTGTTAGCTAGTCCAAGGTATGTCTCCGTAAGCAAACCACACAATCGCTTTTAAGATGATTTGAGATAGTTGTACCAGTAAACTAGTAACCGTTTTTCTCTGAAAGTGCAGACACCTAAGCGACAAGTTTCATATTATCACAGTTCTACTATTGAACGGCACAGGGTGGATTTCACAAACAAATCTGTGATCTGTGAAAAATGGTCTCAGTGCTCTGTTTGAAACCCTCTGAGCAGCAGAATTGATAAGTTCTCTTCTCTATATTAAAACATTTTTTTCATATATGGGATTTTAGTTTTGTGTATTACACTTTTGCATGTCTGCCTTTTTACTGCTCTGCTTAGAAATGTAAAAATATTTTCTGAATACAGTATGGTAAATTTACACATTTACTCTATTGTGACATGGTACAAAGTTTTAAATAATCCAGAAAATTGATGGCAGATTGGGAAACTGACACATCTGCCCACAGCATTCGGACACACATACCAATCCGTGATTACCTTGCAGACAATATACACAAATAACAACCCGTTACAGCCAGGTCTACAACCTGCAAACGTCTTATTTAAAACATTGGCAGAAAAACAGTAGGGAGGCTTCAGAACGCTTTTGACACATTTCGCACAGTAGTGCTCATTCATAAGGCTGCGTAAATTCTGTTGTGCACAATGTGTCAAGGCTTTCTGAAGTCTACCCGTCTTTTTGCTGAGGTTTTAGATCGCTTGCTGGATTTAACCATGATTATAATGTTTTTTTCTAATTTATTTATTTACAACTGTTGATTGACTTCATTGGATTTTATATAATTGCATAAAATTATCTTTTTGTTCAACAGGAAATCCCCCTTTCTGAGATACTCTGCCTGGAGCCTGCTAAAAATCTTTCTTTGCTTCCCCCTGGTGCAAATCCTCATTGCTTTGAAATTACGACTGCTAATATTGTATATTATGTGGGGGAAAGCCTTCCTGCACAGACAGCACCTGAGACAGGAAATAATAGTGTGGTGAACAGCGGTGTGGGAATGGAAGTGGCTAGAATGTGGGAAATCGCCATACAGCATGCACTGATGCCAGTCAATCCTAAGGGAGCAAATGGAGGAAGTAGCCAACACCGTATGTCCTTCTTTACTCTTTAAATTATTAACTATTGCAAATCATTAATTATTGTGTGTGAAATGTTGGGTTATGTTAAGGCAGAGAAATAAGTCCTATGCACTGAACCTGACCCTTTAATATTATCTTCTTAAGCATTAAGGAAGCATTTTGTTTGTCCTTCCTACATGTATTCTGGCATTAGATTTATTGCCTTATGCCAGCCTATGTATGGGAGACCATATTTGGTCTTCATAGCAGTCAGTCAGTACTCCTTCTTGCTAAGCCATTTACTAACAGAAGAACAGATTCCCTTTCATTTTTTTAATTACTGTCTGTGTTCCTGTTGGGGAAATTCACCCGTTCTTTTTGTCCAGTGACCGTTATCATTGAGACTGGAAATGCATACTTTTGGCTTGTCACCAGAATTGGAGGTAAAGGTAAATCTTCCACTGGCGAGTCTGGTTCTGGTGACAGCTGTTAGAGAGGTTTTTCCCTCCCTTTGTAGAGCTTTCTTCTAGCTTTCCTTATGTGATCATAGAACTGGAAAAGAAGAGAAATCTCCCCCAAGAGGACATTTCGTTTCCTGTCCTGTCTGCAGGATAGAACAGGAAGTTTCACCAGTGGCAAACTGCAAAAAAAGTGTTCCCTACTCTATCCAAAATAAAGAAAAAACTTTACGTATACTTTAAACCAGGACAGACACACACAGCCAATTATCTTTTTAAAGACCTATACAACTCTGTCCTTAGAATCTATAGACAATGTTTTGTGTAGACCAACAATAGTACATAATGCACCATAGAGGCTCCTTACCTTTCCCCAGTTTACTAGATGGACTGCTGTCGCTTATATTTGTTAGTGCTGATTCTGAATAGTGAAATCCAATGGGTTTTTAACCACTTGCCGACCAGCCGCAATGCATATACTGTCCAAACATCTCTATGTAAAAATATAGGATCTGCCATTCTTTTTATTAATTTTTGGAAGGGCTCAGTATATTAAAATTCCACAATTTTATTCAGGTGCAAGTAAAAAAAATCCATCTCAAGAGAGATTTTTTAAAATGTTGATTACATCAAAATGTATTCTAGGTTGTGTATCGCACCTGTTACATTTCCAAGACCAAATACGAAGACCCATTTTGTCTATGCATTTCACCGTCTGCTCCTTTTCCTTAGGATGGGCACACACACTGAAATTTATATGCCTATACTTGAAGCCATCTGGAAACAGTATAGCAATTCCATGAATATATGTACATAATATGTGAATTATTCCAACAAAAAATAGAGGTGTACACTTGTTGACTCAGGATTACATATACATGGGTTTACAAGGAAGCTTCACATATTTAAGTATGTGTGTGTGTGTGTGTGTGTGTGTGTGTGTGTGTGTGTGTATATATATATATATATATATATATATATACATATACACACACACACACACACAGTTGTGTTCAAAATAATAGCAGTCAGGCATCACTAACCTGATCAATCACTGTTTTTGGTAGAAATGATATTTCTACATGGCAAATAATTTACTAGCAGGTGTAGTAGAGTAATAGAAATCTAACAGTCATGACATGCATGCTGCTGATTCTGTGTAATTGAATCACTAATTGAAAGGGGCATGTTCAAAATAATAGCAGTGTGGAGTTCTATTAGTGAGGTCATTCATTCTTTGAAAAACAGGTGGCAATTATTGCCCTTATTTAAGGAAGGAAGGCAGCAAATGTTGTACATGCTGGTTACACTGCAGAATGAAGCAATCACATTCAAAATTATGTTAAATAGGAGTCAGTACACACCTGCCATCATTTACAGTGCCTCTGATTAACCCCAAATAAAGTTCAGCTGTTCTAGTTGGTCTTTCCTGACATTTTCTTAGTCGCATCCTACAACAAAAGCCGTGGTCCACAGTGAGTTTCCAAAGCATTAGAGGGATCTCATTGTTAAAAGGTATCAAGTCAGGAGAAGAGTACAAAAGAATTTCCAAGGCATTAGATATACCATGGAACACAGTGAAGACAGTCCTCATCAAGTGGCGAAAATATGGCGCAACAGTGACATTATCAAGAACTGGACGTCCCAACAAAACTAAAGAAAAGACAAGAAAACTGGTCTGGGAGGCTGCCAATAGGCCGACAGCAACATTAAAGGAGCTGCACGAATATCTATCAAGTACTGGCTGTGTGGTACATGTGACAACAATCTCCCATATTCTTCATATGTCTGGACTATGGGGTAGAGTGGAATGACGGAAGCCTTTTCTTACGAAGAGAAACATCCAAGCCCATCTACATTTTGCAAAAATACATCTGAAGTCTCCCAAAAGCATGTGGGAAAATATGTTCTGGTCTGATGCAGGGGCGGACTGACAACTTATGGGGCCCCCGGGCAATAGGGGATTATGGGGCCCCTGTGTCCTTGCCCACACTCAAATTACACCCAAAAAAGCCTATGAAAGGTACCAGGGGCATCTCATGGGCCCCCTACTGACCCTGGGCCCTCGGGCAGTGCCTGAGTACCCGAATGGTTAGTCCGCCCCTGGTCTGATGAAACCAAGGATGAACTTTTTAGCCATAATTCCAAAATATATGTTTGGCGCAAAAAACAACACTGCACATCACCAAAAGAACACCATACCCACAGTGAAGCACGGTGGTGGCAGCATCATGCTTTGGGGCTGTTTTTCTTCAGCTGGAACTGAGGCCTTAGACAAGGTAGAGGGAAATATGAACAGTTCCAAATACCAGACAGTATTGGCACAGAACCTTCAGGCTATTGCTAGAAAGCTGAACATGAACAGGAACTTCATCTTTCAGCATGACAACGACCCAAAGCATACATCCGAATCAACAAAGGAATGGCTTCACCAGAAGATTAAAGTTTTGGAATGGCCCAGCCAGAGCCCAGACCTGAATCTGATGGAAAATCTGTGGGGTGATCTGGAGGGCTATGTACAGGACATGCCCTTGCAATCTGACAGATTTGGAGTGTTTTTGCAAGGAAGAGTGGGCAAATATTGCCAAGTCAAGATGTGCCATGCTGATACTCCTACCCAAAAAGATTGGAAAGAATGCTGGAATAAAGAAAAAAAGGTGCCACCTAAAAGATTTCAATTTGTTATTCAACTGAGTTGTACAGTTTATAGGTCACATTAAAGGTGGAAAAAGTTCTGAAATGCTTTATCTTTATTTTTTTTACATCACAGAAACCTGACATTTTAACAAGGGTGTGTAGACTTTTTATATCCACTGTACCTCTTAGAAGAATTACATTCGGTGTGTAGAGCAATAGCAGTGGTGTTACAATTTTCTACATCAAAATTATGTTTAAGTAAGAATAACAAAAACAGTTTCCATCATTTTGTATAATTAATATGGTTTCCAGTATAATGGCATCCCTTATGCTTGGTGCGCTGTTATTACATTTACTGCATATGTAATCCTGATAGAACAATGAATTGTATATTTAGTTGCAATGTTTTAATCCTTCAAATATTATGTACATATAGTATGTTCATGGAATTGATTATATTGTTTCCAGATTAATGAAAATATTTACATACAAATTCTAGTGTGTGTATCACGTGACTTGTACTGAAGAAGAAAAGGGGACTGAGATATGCATTGACAAAAAAAGGTCTAATTTTTTGGTTATATGGGTGTTTTGGAATTGTATCCTGTACAGTACACAGCTGGAAATATGTTTATGTAAAAAAATTTTTAACAATCTCTTTGCGGCTGCGTTCACGTTATAGGCGTTTTGTATCCCAAAACACTGCAAAACTGACAAAACGCACCACACTTGTCCAGGTGACATTCATTTTCAATAGCACCTAAATGCGGTGATGTGATTGACGTGCAATAAATTTTGTGGAAAATTGCGTCACGTAAACCTTGCCACCCAAAAAAAAAGCAGGAGCTTCTTTCTGGGTGACAATCTTCGCGTGATGTGGTTTATGCAGTTGCAGCACGATTTATTGCTCCAGAATTGCACTACGTTTTAGGTGCCATTGAAAATTAATGACACCTGAACAAGCATGGTGTGATTTGTCATTTTTCAGAGCGTTTTGGCATCGCGGGTAGATTCACCCCGTTTCTGCCTGCAATACAAAAAACCTAGATGTGAATGAAGCCTGAGATGGATTTTATTAGTTTGATTACTTTAATAAAACTGTAATTATAACAGAAAATATATTGTGTTCTCAAAATGCTGCAAAGAAAGTCTATCTCCTTATTAGCCGTTGAGTACACCATATGGTATGGTATGGGATGGCAGCATTTTGAGATTTTGATGTACAGCCCTCACTCATTTTATTGGTTGGTGGTGTTTTTCCAAGGTGTACTTACTCTTACATGACCCAGTGAGGTTTCAGGCCTGTCTGTGTGCTACCCAAGAGTTCCCAGGAGCCTTACACAGAAGTAGAGATTTAAATTTTGCGCAAATTTTGAAGCCATGGAAAAAAGCATGTTTTTTTATTTTTCCATAAACATTGGACATTTTCAGAAAAACAAGAAAAAATCAATGTGGAGTAGATTTGAAAGTCATTTTGTTACACTAGAAACGTGAAATACAGTGTATATAAAAGTAATATTCTTAAAATAAAAGTACAGCTTATTCAATAAAGTACAGCTTAATGCAATGCTTGGAATGAGAATTCTGGAAGTTAACGCTACGTGAACTTTCATTATGGTCCTCATTTAATTCCATAAAGTATTTTTTTCAATGCATTTAGGGAACTTTGGCATGCAAGGATGTATTTTGTCATCCTTGTAACATTTGAAAAATAATATTTTTTCTCACAATATTTGCAAATTGCAGTTTTGCTCTCAGCAGAAATTGCACTATGGACATATTTCCAAACGCTAAATGTTCTTACCATTTTACTGAGAGGAGGAAAGGAAAAAAAAAACAATTTACTGAGCAGATTATGGGTAAACATTATGCTGTAATTGTGGAGAGCAATTAGTAGGAGTCATTTAAAGGTTATATAGGTAAACCTAATTTGTCAGACTTACCTCAAATTAGGCCTGAGAGGACACAAACTATCATCTACTGCATTCCAACAATCATACAACTGTAGGAGGTACAAGATAGAGCCCACAAGCAAACTAAGCTAGAGCCTTTCATCTGCAGTGCACTCTAGTGGAAGAAATGCATATTTCTCTTGTTTGAGAACTGCATTAAGAAGTGTTACTTTAATTGTATTCCAGGATTTTCTTGTCTTCAGCTAGGAGAACTTGTTATAATTTGAGACTTTATTTAGTCTCAATAATCTTTCATGAATGTCTATATGTTATTTAGTTTGAACACCATGTCATAGATATATTATTTAGTGTTGCAAAAGAACATATTCCACACTTTTTTCCTCAATTTTTTTTCCTATAAAAAAATAAAAGGAAAAACAGTTTTGAAAAAAATAAGAAAAACAGTTCTCTCCCAATTTTTCAAAAACAGTTCTCTCCCAATTTTTCAGTTCCCCCCCCCAGACCTTTCTCATCTCTACACAGAAATGACAAAATGTAAATGAAGACCCCCTTTGAACACAATGCACAATTTACGGTTCATTGGTCAGTTTTAGGCAAAGTGAGAGATCATCTTTTCAGTGACAACCAGTAGATAATGCTAGCTACTACTAGACTATTGGATTGGGGTATGCAAGGATAAATGGATGATCGCACTCAAGAATGTAGAAATATCCAAACATTTTATTAATCGTCCTCTTAAAAAACTAACATCACAGTTCTGCAAGCAGGGAACACGGTTGACGTGTTTCGCGCAAACCTGCGCCTAATCATAACAGAGCACACGCGTGAGTTCTCCTGTTGGATCGCGGTAATTTATGGTCTGCCATGCTTGTTAGTTTCAGTCCATTACTTTTGTATTTTCCCAAAATAAACCAGTGTTGAGGTGTGTGGGCATATAATATATACGCTTGTAAGAAACAAAAAACTCATGTTTGTGTAGCGATCTGCTAAGAGAAAAAAAATTATTCAGCTTTTGATGTCTCTTCTATTTATCCAGTTACCAAGTGGACCTGTGCTTTATGCATAAGATTGTTAAAAATATCCCCCCAACAGGAACTATCAATAATGCTACAGAGATAGTAGACATCTAATTTTCTTCCTAAACCATTTAAATTCATGTGGCCAGTGGCAGCCCAGTCTTGTGTGGACACAATTTTCCTACTTAATTAATAACAGGTTTGCAGTAGAAAGTTATTAAACCTAGTTGTTATTTTGTAATATATAGAATTGGAATACATTTGGATTGAAAAAGTAATTGCTGAAGTTATCGTGTGAGTCATGTTGCCTATGATGTTTCTCTTACAGGTGATGTTTCCATCAGCATCTCTGTGTCAAACTGCCAGGTGCAAGAAAATGTGGTATGTACTTCTAACCAAGATCTTTCACTTGTTTGCATGTGACAATGTGAAGGGTGTGGCAGAAGATTAAAAACTAGAGCCTTTTGTTGGCAGAAATAAATTTCTCACTTGGTGTGACCTGTTCTCTTTGGTCAGAGAAGACGCACATGTAGCCCTGCTTATCCCAATGTTTAAATCTTTCAGCTATAATTTAAAAAAAAACAAACCAATTCATTGATTTTGCAGGAGGGCACTTGGTTAAAAAAAAAAATCCAGAAAATTAATACTTAGAAAAATAATGAATTGGTAAAAAAAATTAATAGAAATTCATTTGTATATATGTGAATGAGCTAATATGCTGGATCTGATTTGACGGCTGTTCATTTAATAAGGCAGATTGCAAAAATAAAAAACCTGTGGCAACCAATGACGAATCCTGTTTTTTTATCGGTTTGTTAAGGGACACAGGATCAGATGTAAATCAAGAACAGTTGGGGCTTATACTGCCACCTACAGGAAGAAGTGGACAGTAGCAAAAAAAAAAAAAAAAAACAGCTGTGTATAACCTCTCTCTCACTCCCATCATGCTTCAGTGTATTGCTAGTGTTCTAGAAGGGAAGTTGTCTTATCTGAGAATACTTTACCCTTTTTTTTGCTAAACAATTTCACCAAGATTCATTTTTTTCATACAGGATTCATTGTTTTGCTGCTGTGCTGAGCTTGTTATGCAGGCGTTTGGATCAGCTAATGCTTGTTGTTCCCTTGGAGACCTAACCTGGACCCTGTTTTGACTGGGCTGTACTTATGACATTCCTCAGACATCTAGTTTCATGTTTGTTAGCCGCAAAGTGCTTTACAGGTCCAGAACAGTGGCGCAGTCTCAGGTGTGCATTAGTCAGTCTCTGAAGACTTCCTGGGATATGCCCTTGGATGTAGTGAAGACCTGCTGGAATGAGACTTTTGGGCACTGGCTCCAAGTGTGGCAATCCTCAGACACCTAATGTACTGGCTTGTTAGCCACAGAGCCTTCTCCAGACCTTCAAGGTAAGTGCTTAAGGACTTTGTCCTTTTGCACTAAGCATGGTACTCCTATTTCTCCACCACATGCCACTTCATTCTTCCCTATTCAGCAATTCTATTGAAAGGATTAACACGCCAGAGAACTTTGAGCTGTGTCGGGTGTGCTCTACAATCCATCTTTCCAGTGATTTTGTCACCTTGGCCATTAACATTCTTCCTGCTTTCAGCTATTGGTTTGTGAGTACCCAAGGCTTTCCCGATATATTATGTTACCTTAGTGCACTGTAGTATGTTGGATCACAAGCACATTGTCCCTCCTCATTGCTGTCCTCCTGCTTGTGTCGCTATAGTCCCGATTTTTATCTATGTCCGGTGCAGCCCCCTCCTCTGCCTTATTCAGAGAGGGGTTTTCTTCTGTTTTGTCAGTTTGGTGTTTTTTAAACAAAATTGCAACCATGATAACTAACTCAGAACACAGAGAATGCAAGTAAGTTGCCTCCCCTCTTAATTTTTTGACATTTCTGCAGCTATACCTGACTCTGTGCCTTCCAACAGGAAATTTCATTCTGATGGGAAATCTCGCAAATCTGTTAAGAACAGTTTTGTGCTTAACAAGCTGACATAGCTCTTAGGTTTTAAGATACAATATCAGTGCCTATTGATAGTTTGAATACCTGTTTTACAGCTTGAGTACCAAACTGTAATCCCCCTTCATTACCAGGACACTTTTCAGTTATCATTGCTGTGATAGTTGGACTGACAATTACTGTCATTCAATGAATTTTATGTAAATTTTTGGACAGATAAAGCTTTCTTTTGGTGATATTTAATAATCGCTATTTTTTTAAAACTATATACTTGAACAAATACCTGAGGAAGTCACGTGATTCGTGACGCAACGCGTAGGTCGGAAGCATGGTGACGTCAGTACCAGCGTGGACGGAAGCCGTCATCTTGCTACGCCCTTGCAAGTACACCCAAACTGATACATGCGGTTTTGAGTTTTTTTATCTTGTATTTGATGTACGTGAGCATTTGGCATTATGCTGCGAACATCAGTGAAACAAAACATAAGCACAAAAATACGAAAAGTCCAAAATAGACTCCAATGTGTAAAGTCCATTAAATATTCTCAAATAAAGTTGATGGGTGAAAGTGATCAACTGGAGCAGAAATCCACCACTGGCTTAATTGCCTGCTCACCTCCATGCTACGACCCCAGGAGGCCAACGCACTTCAAGGCGCTCAGCGCAACACAGATCACCATCCAAAAGAGGTCTTACGCACTACTCCAGCAACCGTCAATCCTCAACAGTAGTGGTGGTATCCCCCTCACGGCAAAAAAATGCACCGGGCAGCCTCTCACAGGATTCCAAAGGAGGAGAATAGAAACACTTCCATAGTGTAGTAATTAATATAATTTAATAAGCAGCATAATGCCAAGTGCCCACGTACATCAAATACAAGATAAAAAAAGCTCAAAATTGCATGTATCAGTTTGGGTGTACTTGCATGGGTGTAGCAAGATGGCAGCTGCTGTCTACTGATACTGTGGTACTGATGTCACCACGCTTCCGACCTACGCGGTGCGTCATGAATCATGTGACTTCCTCAGGGTTATGTGATGTGCATATCCCAGGAGGCTACTAGAGAGCAGCATGTCATTCTGGGCTAGGTCAAAATTAATGAGAGTTGTGGTCAAGAATTAAATAAAAAATTTAAAAAAAAAAATCGGGGCGGTCATGTAGAGGATAGGAGCTAAAGAGGAGCAATTTTTCACTTTGGAATTCCACTTTCAAGCAGCCTGCCCCCAGTTTTGCTGGTTTTTTTTTTTTTTTTTTTTCTTTTTTATGTGAAAGTGTTGCTGTTGTCCAACCCTCAGTTGGATCTCTTTGGACGTCCCAGTTATTCCTGATTTGCAGTGGATCCTGTGTCCTTTAAAGAACAATAAAGAAAACAACATTTTTATACATATCAAATGTTTTTTTCTGGAAATCATGCAGGGATTCAGGCTCAACCCTTCTGTGTTTGCGAACTTCTTGTAATACTGCTAATACTGCTTTTCTAAATGCTGACGCATAAGTCGGGAGGGATTGTACCTGGCTGGCCAATGGCTTTTTTTGTTTGACAGAGTCCATGTCCTCCTCTTAGTGGCAGTATAACCCAGTTGTTCCTGAGTTGTATCTGATCCTCTGCCCCTAAGGAACTTCAGGAAACATTTTATGGTAACTTCAAATATCCTGTTTTACTGCCGAAACTTGCCACATGGTTCCTATAAATCATGTCTATGGATCATAGCCTTTCTCTAGGTTAGTAAAAGGTGAACTGCAGGAATTCAGCCAATCTGCAAAATGTGCAGGCTTACCATGAGGTGATTCCAACATAGTGCTTGTCACCCCATGGACTTATCTCTTTAATTTACACCTTATAGTTTTATGGTGCTCTGGGAGCACACCTATCCCTACATTTCCAGAGCTCTAACAGGGAAATGCTGCCTTCTCACACTCAGAATCTCTGCCATCCCCTCCCATCTGCTGTCTATTCATAGAAGCTTTTGTAATTTGTGAATGGGTCCACATAATACAAAGCATTCTGTGATTGGACAGCACAGGGCCACTCAGCACTGTCCAGATACTGGGTCAGGGGTCATGCAGCACAGGTCCACTCAGCACACTCCAGATAGAGGGTCAGGGGTCATGCAGCACAGGGCCACTCAGCACACTCCAGATAGAGGGTCAGGGGTCATGCAGCACAGTACCACTCAGCACTGTCCAGATACAGGGTCAGGGGTCATGCAGCACAGGGCCACTCAGCACACTCTAGATAGAGGGTCAGGGGTCATGCAGCCTCATAGGACAGTCAGAGCAGAATGAAAACTCCTCCTACAAGCTTTAACTAGTGCTTGGCCAGACACTTATAGAAGTCACAAGACTGCTATATACTGCTGATGATAAAAGGTATTTAGCTGTTTTAATTCACTAAAAATTGCATTTCCATGTTTTGTGGGAGACCAGATAGAGTGAATGCAGGGTCATGGGTTTAGTATCATTTTAACCCCTTGTAGTCCAGAACATTGTACAAAGTGGCTGAATTCATGGAGTTTAGCTTTAAATATTTTTATACAAGCCTATCAATGTTTTCTACTCTTTGGAAGGTTTATTAATGTATTTATGCATCATTTTCTGTTTGCTTTGTCCATAGGATATTAGCTCTGTATATCAGATTTTTCCAGATGAGGTTCTTGGATCAGGACAGTTTGGTATTGTATATGGAGGTATGGTTTATACCCACTATCAAAAATACTTTGCCTATATTGCACCAATGTAGTTACTATAATGTTCATAAATGGCTTACTGCTTTGTAAATATGTGCTCCTTAATTTCAGGAAAGCATCGGAAGACAGGTCGAGATGTGGCTATAAAAATAATAGATAAACTGCGTTTTCCTACTAAGCAGGAAAGCCAGCTAAGGAATGAAGTTGCCATTTTACAGGTACAGGTTGCAGTATAACTGCTTATTCACTCAGAATCGCTACAGTTATATTTGCTTGAGGGCAAAAAAGGTGAACAGAACCACCCACAATTCAAATTCTGTCAAGTTTTATTCTGCATTACCTAAAATTTTAGAGGCTGAGATAGGTATATTTGATTCTTTTTTCCATTGGGCATGGTTTGATGTGAATGGATCAAAGTAGAATATGTTGGTGCCATGTAAAGAAATATTTTTAATAAACAGCTGAAAGAAAAGTCTTCTTTTAGTAAACTTTTAGTACACTGCTCAAAAAATTAAAGGAACACTTTTTAATCAGAATATAGCATCAAGTAATTTTAAACTCCCAGGATATTGATCTGGTCAGTTAAATTAACAACAGGTGCACTAGATGGGCAACAATGAGACAAACCCCAAAACAGGAATGGTTTTACAGGTGGAGGCCACTGACATTTTTTTTCCCTGCTCATCTTTTCTGACTGTTTTTCACTAGTTTTGCATTTGACTTGGGTTAGTGTCACTACTGGTAGCAGGAGGCGATACCTGGACCCTACAGAGGTTGCACAGGCAGTCCAGCTCCTTCAAGATGGCACATCAATATGTGCCATTGCCAGGTTTGCTGTGTCTCCCAGCACAGTCTTAAGACCATGAAGGAGATTCCAGGAGACAGGCTGTTACTCTACGAGAGCTGGACGGGGCCATAGAAGGTCCTTAACCCACCAGCAGGAGTGGTATCTGCTCCTTTGTGCAAGGAGGAACAGGATGAGCACTGCCAGAGCCCTACAAAATTATCTCCAGCAGGCCACTGGCGTGAATGTCTCTGACCAAACAATCAGAAACATACTTCAGGAGGGTGGCCTGAGGGCACGACTTCCTCTAGTGGGCGCTGTGCTCACTGCCTGGCACTATAGAGCTCAATTGGCATTTGCCATTGAACACCAGAATTGTCTGTTTTTAAATTTCAGGAAACTGGCAGTTATCTGGATCCATACCTAGGGCTACTAATTTATCAGTAGGATTATTATTTATTTCAGGTACTTATATAGCGCCGTAAATTTATGCAGCGCTTTACATACATATATTGTACATTCACATCAGTCCCTAACCCTCAAGGGGCATACAATCTAAGGTCCCTAACATTCATACATATACATACTAGGGGCCAATTTAGACAAGAGCCAATTAACCTACCAGCATGTCTTTGGAGTGTGGGAGGAAACCGGAGTACCCGGAGGAAACCCACACAGTCACAGGGAGAACATGCAAACTCCAGACAGGTGGTGCCGGGGTTGGGATTCGAACCAGCAACCCTAGTACTGCCAGGTGGAAGTGCTAACCATTTAGCCACTGTGCTGCCCCGTGATTGGTACCCAGACCCTGCATTGGAAGAGTCCAGACTGACCCAGGTGGGCATAGAATTCTGACATCATGTGCATGTCAGTTGGTGATCCTTGGGCTCTTTTGGTTTACCCCAGCTTCCTCTTGCAACATTTAATATTCCATTCTTCTTTACAGTTGCTGGCTTTAACGGCATGGCTACTGATCTAGAATCTTGAAGGACGGGGTAATATCTGATTCAGTTATTTCCACATTTACCAAAGCCAGGAAGGCTTCTTCAAGAAGGATTTATCAAAGAACCTAGAAATTTTATGTGGCATTAGTGTAAGGCTAGCAAATATCACACTCGCAAATATGTTATGGGATGTATTTTGGCTGTTCTCAAACAGGTTAATATGCTTCTGGAATTAAGTACAATCAAGGGCCAAATTTCAGCCTTGGTGATCCTTTTTCAGAGACAGAGTACTTATCATTTTTTGGATCTTGCCTTTGTGTAAGGAGTTTTTCATATTGTTCCTCCAATCAGATGGCCTGTGACCCTGTGGGATCTCAGATGGGTTCTTTCTGTTTTTACAAAGACCTCCATTTGTACCTAATCACAACCTTCCCTTAGTTTTTGACACAATAGGTGGTGTTCTTGGTTAATATTACTTTAACACGAAGGGTACCTGAGCTGACATCTCTTTGTTGCGAGGAACTGTTCCTGATCCTTCACCCTGAAAAGCTGGTTCTCCGCCTGTCTTTTTTGTCTAAGGTGGTTTTGGCTTTCCATCTCAACCAAGATATTGTTTTACCGACTTTTTTTTTTTTCCCCTAGTCCTTAGTTGCCAGGGGATAGGGCTCACAACCCTTTAGATGTGGTTCAGGCTATAAGGCTACATCTGAAATTGACAGCCACAGTCTGAAATGCAGACTCTGTTCTTCCTGAAGGACCAAAGAGAGGTAAAAAGTCTACTAGTTTCCATTGGATGCATCAGCTTATTTCTCCCAGGAGTGTAGGTTCTTTCTGGACTGCCTGTCATCGGGCTTTGGTGGCACATGTTTTAAAGACTTCAACCTGGTTTTTAGTTCACACTTTTTCAAGGCTTTACCAGGTTGACGTTAGAACCACTGAGGATACAGCTTTTAAACGCAGTGTTTTACAGGCTGCAATACAAGGTGTTTTTTTTTTTGACTTGTCGTGGGTCTGTGTCTCCTTCCCCTCATTGGCATTCCTTTAGGACATCCCTAGGAGTAAGGGAATAATAAAGCCTGCTCTGTGTCCCATGATCTACAATAAAGAATTGGATTTTCCACTTGCCTGTAAATTCCATTTCTTGGTTATTATTGTGGTGTACAGAGATCTCTCTCCTCCTTCGGGTTGTAGGGCTTGCTACAAAACTGATGTCTTTTTGGTATGGGTGGGATTAGATAGGGGAGGACGTCCTGTCTTTTGCCAGTGTCCAATCACCTGCAAGTGGTGAATAACCCTAGGAGTAAGGAATAACGCCTGTCTTGTGTCCTGTATTTTCTTTAATCTATTTTCTGGCCCCAACATGCGGCTTAGAGGCTGGCAGCAAGGTAGCCTTTTACACAAACTAGGCTGCTATAGCAGCCATAGGAGTGTTTAAATTTTTTAGGCCAACTGTCTGCTTTCTGGTGGAAATGATTTGGGCTTCTGTAAAGCTACCCAATCACTTCCACATCTCTGTGCTTGATCAGCTTAGAGGTGACGTTAAGGGTTTAATAGACAGTATTCTATCACATAGGAGGCTATAACCCTCCTATGTGAAAGGAATTAAGCTGTATGAAAAAAAAAAAAAGGTAACACACTGTAGATTGAAAAAAAAAAAGTGTGTATAAAGTTCTCTGTCACCATGTACATGCACATACATAAATGCATGTGTAGGTACATATAAAAACAATAATTGCTACATGTATTGCATATCACTGCACACGCCAGAGTGGCAGCAATAATCCTAGGGCAGGGGTGGGCAAACTTTTTGACTTGAGGGCCGCAATGGGTTCATATATTGGACCCGGGGGCCGGACCAAGAGTAGATGAATGATGTGTATGTGTCATCCATAGTAAGTATAGTAATATTCCCCCATAGTAAGCATAGTAATTAATCCCCCATATAGTAATTCATCCCCCATATAGTAATTCATCCCCCATAGTAATTCATCCCCCATAGTAATTCATCCCCCATATAGTAATTCATCCCCCATATAGTAATTCATCCCCCATATAGTAATTCATCCCCCATATAGTAATTCATCCCCCATATAGTAATTAATCCCCCATATAGTAATTCATCCCCCATAGTAATTCATCCCCCATATAGTAATTCATCCCCCATATAGTAATTCATCCCCCATATAGTAATTCATCCCCCATATAGTAATTCATCCCCCATATAGTAATTCATCCCCCATATAGTAATTCATCCCCCATATAGTAATTCATCCCCCATAGTAATTCATCCCCCATAGTAATTCATCCCCCATATAGTAATTCATCCCCCATATAGTAATTCATCCCCCCCATAGTAATTCATTCCTCATATTAATTCATTCCCCATATTAATTCATCCCCCATATAGTATTTCATCCCCCATAGTACTATTCCCCCCCAAGTAGTAAGCCAAGTCCCCCCTGTGTCAATTTACTTACCTTTGCTCCGCGCGTTCCTCTCGACGTGTTCCCGCGCCGGTCCGGTCTTCAGGGCGGACTGTGAGAGGAGCCTAGCTCCCCTCACGTTCGTCACGCTGCCCCGCCTACACACATCCTGACAGCCAATGTATCACGCTCCGCGGGCCGGATTAAAAGGTCAGCCGGGCCGTAGTTTGCCCATTGCTGTCCTAGGGTCATCATTCATAGTTATCTCTAAATTAATAACTAAAGGCTTTTAAAGGTTAGCCTATGGACAATTTGGTATACCAAAGCATGTTGCTGTTTCACCAGCAACTGCAAATTTAAGGCTTGACACGTTTTGTTCTATTTGCTGGATACAATCTCATCTTTTATATTTTATCAAAAAATTGGTAATTTACAGTATTGTGTTTGTGTGCACTAAAAATAACTTTAGTGTATTTTTACTGAAAGCATGGGCTTAATAAACAGCTGTGCTAATGTAATGTGACTTAGAAATTTCAACTACCCCAATTTTAGTCTTCAGTCTCTTTGCTTTCAGAAAATGTTCAATTTTGGGGTGGGCGTTAACTAATCCTTATGCCTAGAAATGTGCATTTAAAAGTGCAAAAAAAAAAAAAAAAAGGCTGGCAGCGAAAGGATTAACAAAGAAAAAACACAAGTGCGCTTCACATTACATATAAAGTTATAACTCAAATTCTACCTCATTTACAAGGAAACCATTATTAGAAGTATGGAAGCTGTTATTGGTGACCCCTTCCTAAAATTGCTTGTTGCCTGGCAGTCATATTGATTCTATGATGTAAATTCTGTAATTCTTACCTGGAGTAAGCGGGCAGATCAGAAAGGTCAAAACTCCTAAACTTCATACTTGTTCCAGGTTAGTGACTCAGAAAGTATTGAAACCATCACCCAGTATGACAGGCAGGTAACAATTTACCAGTAATGGAAAGCAATAGCAGCCATCATATTTCCTCAATACAGGTTTCCTTTAACCCCTTGGTTAAATACATATTGTACAGAATATCTGCCTA